GGGATGACCCACAGCTCCCCTTACCCTACTGCGGTCCAGCTCCCTGGACAATGTTATGGCTCAATAACAGACCAGCCCCTGGGAGAAGGCCCAGCATGGGGTAGGGAGGGGAGGCTGAGGGGCTTGTGCTAGTCCCCAGCAAGCTGGGAGTCCAGAGCCCTGCTGGGAGGCTGCTCTCTGGCCCCTGGGAAGGTCAGCACTCCAGGCTGTGGTGGGGCAGCACCTGCTTGGGGAAGGGGACAGACTCACACACCCCACTGCCTGGGCACCTGGCCCCGTGGGGCACGCAGCACTGGAGGTCTGTGGAGGATGGGGCAATCCCAGTTCCAGCTCAGCCAGCTTGCTGTGGCCAAGGGCTGCCCACCATAGGCCTGGGCATCAGCTCCTGGCCCCTCCTTTGCTCCCCAATCCAGATGGCAGAGCCTCGTCCTGCCCCATCCAGCAGGGGCTCGGGGGGTTGTGTCCCTAGAGATCCAGCATGCAGGTGAGCGGCTGCTGACCCCCACGGCTACAGCTCCGCAAACACCATGTCCCAGGGCTCCAGGCCCTGCTGGGGCTGATAAACTTCCCCCTCCAGCTCTGTCCTCTCCCTGAGAGCTGCACTAGGGGATCAAGCCCCTCACCCCATCACTGTTCCAGGAGCAGAGCCCAGTCCCCACCGTGCCCAGAGCTGGCTGCATGGTGCTCCCCGGCAGTGCCCGGCTGGTGCCATGGTCTATAGCTGGTGACTCCTGCTCCCACCCATCTCTGGGACCAGTGCAGCCCCCGACTGCCCCAGGACCCTCCCCCAGCTGCAGGGGCTCAGCCCGGACAGTTCTGGGCATGGGGCAGGACTGACTGTGCCAGGGTCCCTGCTTCGGGCCAGCCGTGCCACACCGCGGCCGGGGGGAGGGAGGGGATCCAGCCGTGCTGGCAGCAGACAGGGACGGGAGCTGCAGCTGCTGCTGCTGCTGGCAGGGGGATCCAGGGAGCTGTATGGGGGTGAGGGCAAAAGTGCTGTTGGAGCTGTCCCTTCCCAGCGCTCCCTGCCCGGCGAGCTTTGGCCCCAGCCCTCAGTGAGCGTGGGAGCGGCGCCAGCCCCTGCCCTGCTCCCCAGGAGCTTGCTCCGAGCCAGCTGCCCGGCCCACGTGGCTTCCATTGCTGCTCTCCCCCCACTTTGTCCCGCCCCCAGTGGGCAGCTGCAAATTCAAACCCCCACCCTTCTCCACAGTGCAGCTATGCTGGCTTCATTGGGCACCACCCCGGGCTGAACTGCCTCCCTCAGGCGCCGGCTCCATGCTCCCCATCCTGCCCCTCAGGCAGCAGCTGCCATGAGCCATGTGGAACCGGCTCACGCTGGGCCGGCCCTGGTGGGGCTAGTGTTCCATGGGGCAGCCCGGCGCTGCCCGTAGAGGGACCCTGCAGCCACGCCAGGGCAGTGCGGTCAGTGAAGCCAGCACGGCACTAGGACCTGCGGGAGCTGGGCATGCAAGGGAGGGTGGCAGGGAGCCTCGCCAGAAACCGGCTCGCGTTCAGATGGCCTGGACCAGGGCTGCAGTCCAAGCAAAACCTCTGCAGCCGGGGCTGGGACGAGATCACTCCCTGGGGCTAGTTCCTGGCTCCCACCGATCTTGGGCCAAAGGGCCGCTCCATAGCAGCACTGCCCAATGACCAGCATGTGCATGCTGAGGGGGAAACTGCAGGAGAAACTCCAGGGGAGACTCAGCTCTGGAGGGATGGGGGGCAGAGTAGGATGGGGCCCACAGGGCGGCTCTTGTGGCCAGGACAAGACCCAGCACTGGAGGGAGCTCTAGAGTTACAGGCACACGTGGCACCCAGTAGGGCTGACGGGAGCTGCTGGGCACACAGCGAGCCCCCACCTCCAAAATGGCACCTCTACGCTTGCCCCTTTGCCAGCACTAAAGTCAACCCAGCTCCTCTGGGCCCCATTGGATTTCAAAGCATCCCACTGCTACCACCTGCACCCGAGGCAGGGGGATACTTCACAGGCCCCATCCCAGCCTCCTGGCCTGTGGGGGTCAGCAGAGGAGGGGTCAATGCTGCATGGGGGCACCAGCCCTCTTGGGGGGATATCCACAGCAGCACAGCCCCCTTCCCTGGCCCATGGAGATCCCAGCTGGGACACATTCGCCTGCTCCTAGGTGACCCCTGCTCAGCCACTCATGCTGGGCATCCCTGGGAAGGTCCCTGTACCGCTCAGATGTGCAGGGCGAGGGGGACACCCCACTACCTTGGCCCCATGCGTCTCCAGCGGGACGCTGTGCCAGGCCCGAGCGGTGTTGCCGAGGCACTTGCAGCAAAACTCTGTGGCTTACAGGCTGCTGGGGCAGAACAGCAGTCACACAAGGCGATGCGCTGCCACCCTCCTGCCCCGGTGCATGGCATCCCGTGCAGCCAGCGCCAGGCACAGGCTTCTTTGGGAACCACTACCTTGGCCCCATGCGTCTCCAGCGGGACGCTGTGCCAGGCCCGAGCGGTGTTGCCGAGGCACTTGCAGCAAAACTCTGTGGCTTACAGGCTGCTGGGGCAGAACAGCAGTCACACAAGGCGATGCGCTGCCACCCTCCTGCCCCGGTGCATGGCATCCCGTGCAGCCAGCGCCAGGCACAGGCTTCTTTGGGCAGGGCCTGCAGGCTCCCAGGGCTGAGCACACGAGTCATCAGCCCACCCAGCAGAGGGGATGAAGGGACCAGGTTCGGGGCCGTACAGCACCGAGCTCATGGGCAGCCCAGGGGGCGGAGTTGAGATCAGGGCACAGAGCACCCAGCGCACAGGCAGCCGAGCCCAGTCACTACACAAGGCGGACAGAGGCACGGCCGGCACAGGCAGCCCCTGCGCAGGGTTTATTCACAATTTGCAGGAGTTGGGCCGAGGGGCTGTCGGAACCCAGCAGCGCCTGTCTCATGCACCGGGCTGCGGAAGCGAAGGGGCCGCGGGGTCAGCAAGGCTATGCCACCAACCACCCCTGGCTCCCACCTGCACCTGCGGCACACGGCTGGGCCAGGCCAATTGCACTAGTGCAGCTTGCTGCACACTATCGCCCCAGGGATACGGGCCAAGCGCACCCAGCCCCCCACTGCTAGCACTGGGCTTGGGACCTGAGAGTCACCGGCACCGCACCAGGAACTGGGCTCTGGGGGAAGCTGGGTCGCCTTGGGGCAGCAGGCAGGAGTTGGGGGCCAGAGCCCTCTCTTCCCCCACCAGGGCCTTAGCACCCTGTCCTGGCCCAGCCTGGGGACCGAGGCAGCCAAGCAGCCCCTGGAAAAGCCTCTTCCCCCACAGGGCCATGGGCAGCCACCGCTCAGGGCAGCAGCACCCCTGGGTGCCTCCTGCTGCTCACAGGAACCACCAGGTACCAGCCAAGCTGCCCAGGCTCACTGCAGTGCTTGGACTCTTGGGAGCCCCCCCAGCCACTGCCGTCCCAGGTCTGCACACCAGTGCCAGAGACCCCCAGGAACGGGCAGCCAGGCCGTGCCGGGGGCCTTGCACACACACAGACACACAGGGCAGTGTGCAGCCAGCTCCTGGGCTCAGACATCAGCCTGGGCAAACAGACCCCCAGGCACAGTCAGCTGGGGGAAGGTGACTCTGAGGCTGTGCCACACAGCTCAGCTCCTCTGGGCTGGCTCCCCACCTGATCCATGACAGCCCTGCTCTCGCTTGCCCTAGACCCAAGGGGGTCAGGGCTGTCTTCCTGGGGGGGGTCGCAGTGCTTTGATCCGGGCCAGCCGGCATTTTCTTTTCCCAGCTCGGCAGGTGCCCGACATCCATGTGGCGGAGGCAGGGGGTGTGGCAGGGGAGCAGACCGGCGCTTTAAATTAAAGGGGCTTTTTTTTTTGCTCAACAAAAATGTTCCCAGCTCTGGGGGTTGACCACCCCATGGGAGAGGAGGGGGCCAGAGCCAGCCACTGCAGCACAAAGATCCTCTGGGGAACAGCACTGACAGCTGCTCCCTTGGGAGGAGCCATGTCCCCTTCACTGGCACCCCCTGGCAGTGCTGCAGCCAGAAGCAGCTCCTCAGCCTGTCCCCACCTACCTAGCATCTCCCAGAGGCCGTCAAGATGCGGACTCCTGCTCAGCCCAGGCTACTGACTCCTAGCGCCCATTTGCTCCATTTTCAAATGCCCCTCGGTTCATCCTCCAGGCTGCCCCTCCCACGGGGCAACAGAAGCGGGAGCTCCCTTTACGCATCTGTGCCACGTCCTCCTCTCCCTCCCGCAACTCTCTTTGGGGGGTGCCTGCAGAAAACACTTGCCCAGGGTTACGCGGCTAGTGTGGGGAGAGCCCGGCCCTGCCTCAGCCCGTCTCACACCACCCAGCCCTTCTAGCAAGTCTCACAGCAAATCCCCATGTGCTTTCCCAAGGGGGGTGCTGACGCCTCCATTTTACAGATGGGGAAAGTGAGGCACCAGAGGGAACGTGACTTACGCCATCCAGTACTCTAGCCTCCCCCACCTGCCAGCACCATCTCCTCTCAGGATCCTTTGTACCGTAATACACCTAATAAATAGTAGCAGTGCCTGCAGGGCTGGCTTGGGCCCCTGGCAAGGGTTGCCAGCACGTACCCCACACCCCCAGGATACAGAGCGGGCCATCCCCCCGGGGACGGCGTGGGGGGCTCTGAGTTAGCAGAGGCTGCTGCCAGGGCCAAAAACCGGAGCTCCGATCTGTCTGGGCACAAGCGAGTGCTGCTGCAGACAGATACTCAGAGCAGTAGTGGTGGCGTCCCCCTCCCTGGCCAGGAGCCGAGAACAACTGGCTCCGTTCCAGGCAGCAAGGGGCTGGCAGCCGGGGGCAGGGAGTGCTGCTCCAGGAAGGCGGGCAGAGGGAGGGGGCTGGGATGCAGGTAGTGACAGAGGGTGCCAGGCTAACACTGATCCAGGAAGAGGGTCGTGCATGGGGCCCACCTTGAGCACGTGCCATGCACCAAGGCGCCGGGACGCTGGGCAGCCGGGCGCTGCAGGAGTCTGGCGCAGAGGCTGGAGAGCGCCCCTCTACCGTCCGTGATCCCCAGCTTCATGGGGGCACCATGGAAGGATTTCCAGTGCGGGGCACGACAGAGCCAGGTGCTGCAGCCGCACCCTGGCCCCAGGCTGCCAGCGGGAGCAGCTGGGCAGGCTCTGTTCTGCAAAGCCTCCTGCAGCACAAGTCTCCTCCCCCTGGGGCAGAGGGGCGAGAAGCAGCGTCCGCACAGGCGGGTCACACGTCGTAGTGGGGTCCCGCCTGACGGGGGGCTGCAGTTACAGGGGAAAAACCAGCAGATCACAAAGCCTGGAGGAGAAGAGAGAGATGGGGAGGGGAGGTCAGCATGAGCAGGGGCCTCCCAGCACAGCCTGGCTCTCCCGGGCTGCCTGGGTCCCGGCCTTGCCCATGCTGGCTCTTCGGGTTAGTTACTGTGGCGTCACCCCCAGGTACAAGTGTCCTGGGATCTAGGTTACATTCGCGCCTTGGCTCATGCCAGTCTAAATTCCCCAGGAAGGACGAGCCCTCAGAGCAGGCTCAGATACTCTTCCTCTCCCCCAGCCTAAGTTCCCTCTGGGCCCCACAGCCGCATAGCAACCTGTCTAGCACCACGCAGGGAACAGACCTGCCCCAGCTCGGGGAGGGGAGCCCCTCTCCCAACCCCCGCCCCAGAGCTTCTGTGCAGAGAGGGACCCCCCGCCCCAGAGCTTCTGTGCCCAGAGGGGCATCCCTCCCCCCAGCCTGGATGCTGCTGCAGGGAGAGAAAACTGGGAGGAGACCTCTCTCCCCACCAGAGTCGCCTGGCAGCCTGAATCCCAAATCCGTCATCCTCGGCCCCACCCCAGAGCCTGCACCCCCAGCCGGAGCACTCACCTCCCCTCCTCTCCCCAGCCCTGAGCCCCCTCCCACACGCCGAACCCTTGGCCCCACTCCCGCCACCTGAATTTTGTGATGAGCACCAATGTGGAGGGAATGTGACATCCCCCAAATCCATGCCGCAAATGGATTTGGAAGGAAGGAGGGAAGGCTGCAGCCCTCCGCCTGCCTGTAACGTACCCCGTCCAAACACCTCCCGCAGCAACGCGATCTTCGGCTTCCGCGTGTGCGCCACCTCCCGGCGCGCCTCCTTCAGCAGCCGGTTCCGCAGCTGCTCAATCGGAGTCTCGTCCGTGATGATAGAGACCACCTGAGAAACAAGAGGATCGCCTGACGCGCTCCCAGGGAGAGAAGCATGTGGATTTACAGCTACATGCCTCTCCCAGCAGGGGGTGCCGTAGGGAGTGGGGCAGGGACACTGGCTGTGGGGGGAGCTCCCGGCTACTCCAGGGCTAGAGTCTCCCAGCAGGAAGCACTATAGGGAGTGGGGCAGGGACACTGGCCGTGGGGGGAGCTCCCGGCTACTCCAGGGCTGGAGTCTCCCAGCAGGGGGTGCTGTGGAGGACGAAGCATGAAGCAGCCTCTTACGGTGCCCTGCGCAAACCAACCTGGTCATAGAAGATGACGGTGACGAAGAGCCCAAAGAGGATGGACTCCACCAGCAGAACGATGCAGTGAGCCCTGGGGGGGAGGGAGAAGTCAGATACAGATCCAGCCAGCTTAGGGATCCCAAGGACAGGCTCAGGCCTTGCTACTGTTGATTCTGACCCAGAACCACCCACCCATGTATCATAGGCCCTCTACTGACAACCACAGGAGAGTCGACCTCCGCAGCGGGTTAGAGGCTCTAGAAGCAGGAGGTGAGAAGCCTTGTGGCTGCAGAGTCCTGGGGGGGAGGGGGGGCTGGCACGCTGCTGTTACAGTCTGAACCTCAAGGACTTGGTACCTCACCCTGCCCCTCTAACACCTCATGAGGGGACGTGGGGCCATCACTCCCGCACAGCTCTAGGGGGCAGGAGCTGAGTGTCACCCACAGGCAGCAGGGCTGAAAGGGAACTCAGACATCCTGCCTCTAGGACCTCTCCTCCCCTTGCTGAGATCTGTCTGCACCCTGCAGCCGGGGATGGGGGAACCTAGCAGTGGCCCCTACACACTTACATCTGGACATTGCTGTTAGAGACACCTCCAGCTGCACCTTCCATCGTCCCAGGGAAGCTCTTGTCCACTGGCCACAACCCCCTGGTCAGCACCAGCCCCATGGCATAGAGACTAGCCAGCCCTGAGACAGAGCCACAAGTCAGCACAGACCAGAGATGAGCGCCTGGCCCCAGACCCAGAATCCCCCACTCGGGCTAAGGCTAAGCCTGGCCAGAAGGCAGCCCCCGGGGGAAGGTCAGGTGCCAGCTGCTGCAGAGCCTGGCTCTGTTTGATCTCGCCCAACCTGCCAGGGCTACCCAGGGACCAGCTGCCCGATGTCAGTGCTTCATTATGGACCACCCCACCCCCAAACTCACCCCTGGGTGGGGCACACAGGTTCCCACTTCCCAGCCCTCTCTCCCTCGGAGTCCTTTCACTGTCTGAATGTGGAGAAGAAGCAAGGCAGAATGGGGATAGAAGCTGGCTATGGGGCTGGGGGGGGGCAGGGGCACACGTGGACCACAGCAGGAGGGCAGAGGCTGGCTATGGGGTTAGGGATCATGCAGGGAGGGTTCTGGGACCAGAGATCCCTCTAGTGGGGGACAGCAGAAGGCAGGGGGCTGGTAGCAGACAGGGACCCAGGGCAGGGAAGCCCTGGGTCTTGGCTCTGTGCTGGTGCTGTGAGTTGCGTGCTGCAGCGCCACCTACTGCTACGTGGACCACAGCAGGAGGGCAGAGGCTGGCTATGGGGTTAGGGATCATGCAGGGAGGGTTCTGGGACCAGAGATCCCTCTAGTGGGGGACAGCAGAAGGCAGGGGGCTGGTAGCAGACAGGGACCCAGGGCAGGGAAGCCCTGGGTCTTGGCTCTGTGCTGGTGCTGTGAGTTGCGTGCTGCAGCGCCACCTACTGCTATATCCCCAGGCCCACACCTGCTCTCCCTATGGCCGGCTCCCCGGCTGGGCGGCCACGTACCTGTGTAGAAGAGGAACTGGATGAAGTATTTCTGGTTTAACTCGCCAACGCAGTTGTTGATCCTACAGAGAGACAGAAAGAGCACAGGGCCTGTCAGGATGCTACCAGCAACAGCTGGCATCAGACACTAGTGTCCCCATCCCTCGCCCACCCCCACACCTCAAAGGAGAGGAGAGCAAAGCCCCTTTGGAGGCCAGCACTGGACACCTGCCAGAAAATCCTACGTCCACGCGAAGTTCAGGGACACTCAGTGAGCTGAAGCAGGCCAGGACACTGGGGTTAATGCCCTTCTCTCAAAGCTGATTTAAAGGACAGGTTACAAACCACAGTTAGGAGCGCCGCAATTTCACATGTGAGTTCTTTCAGAAGTCTTGGGCGAATGCCACCTGGTCCCGGGGACTTGTTACTGTTATGTTTATCACTTTGTTCCAAAACCTCCTCTAATGACACCTCAAACTGGGACAGTTCCACAGATCTGTCACCTAAAAAGAATGGCTCAGTTTGGGAATCTCCCTCGCGTCCTCAGCCATGAAGACTGCTGCAGAGAACTCATTTCGTTTCTCCACAATGAGCTATGACCAGGGTCCCCAGGGCGAGGACTTGTTACTGTTATGTTTATCACTTTGTTCCAAAACCTCCTCTAATGACACCTCAAACTGGGACAGTTCCACAGATCTGTCACCTAAAAAGAATGGCTCAGTTTGGGAATCTCCCTCGCGTCCTCAGCCATGAAGACTGCTGCAGAGAACTCATTTCGTTTCTCCACAATGAGCTATGACCAGGGTCCCCAGGGCGAGCCGTAGGTGCCTCACCAGGGGCAGTGGTGATCCATGCGGCGGACGCAGCGGTGGCAGATGCGGCAGTGGTGCGCCCGTGGCGGGCGGTACGTCTCACAGCGGTTACATACCGTCCAGTCCTCATTGCTCTGGGAAGCAGGGAGGAGAACTCTTAGCTGCGGCTTTCCCCCGGATCCCAGAGCCCTGCTGGAACAGGCACTGACAGAGGTAATGCAGGGGGCTGGGAGGACAGGCGGCGAGGGGCATCAGAGCAGTCTGGAGAACCCAGCATGGGAGCAGGAGCCGTGGGGCAGGCAGCGACAAGCTGGAGAGGGGAGGGAGCCAGACAGCTCCAGCACTTCCATAAGCCCTTGGATGTTGCATATAAAAGCACAAAGCCTGAGTTCCTACCCGCCCAGGGCTGTAAAGGCTGGGGAAACCCCATGGCCTTTGTTATCAGGGGGCACTTCTGGGCAAAGTAACAGGGAATACAGGGCGCCACGGGCCATGGAGGCTGGAGAGGAACAAGGGAGAAGCCCTGAGATGCTCAGATCTGGACAAACTTAGCTCTGGGGCAGGGATTTAGGGAAGCACAAAGCCTGAGTTCCTACCCGCCCAGGGCTGTAAAGGCTGGGGAAACCCCATGGCCTTTGTTATCAGGGGGCACTTCTGGGCAAAGTAACAGGGAATACAGGGCGCCACGGGCCATGGAGGCTGGAGAGGAACAAGGGAGAAGCCCTGAGATGCTCAGATCTGGACAAACTTAGCTCTGGGGCAGGGATTTAGGGATATCAGACCTAGCTCCAGCACCCCAGGAAAGCCTCCTCTCTGGGGAGTGTTGGGCCCCTGGGCCGGAAGGGCTGTGGCAGTCACTGGGAGCACTGCACGCCCACCCCAGCATTTGCAAGCCTGTGCACTCCCTGCCCTCTCCTCCGACGAGGCGGAGCTCTCGTTGCCATGCAGAGTGCGACAGGGTGTGATCAGCACAGCCCCCCCCCCCAGGCTGGCACCCTGCCCCTGTAGCCAGTGCCATGCTCTCCGAGAGGCCGCACAGAGACATTCGGGAGACAAACCGCCGCTGCAGCACAGGCCCAAGCCTGGAATAATCCTCTACCCATAATTCCCTGAGCCACGCAGCCTGTCCCATAGGGCATCTCTCCCTAGGTGACCAGCAGCAGGTTATGCCCAGCTGCCGTCACTTTAATCCCATCCGCAAGAGCTGCTGCCACGCTGAGCCACACTCCGCGCTGCTGCCTCTGTATCAGACAGCAGCGTGGGGTGCCAGGTTGGAGCTGGTCCGTGAGGGGAGCCAGTTTAAAAACCAACTCCCCTTGTGGACCAGCTGCCTGTCGTCCTGTGCTGCTGCCTCTGATAAAGAAGCAGCTGTGTGGGGTGGCAGCAGCCCCTGTCTAGGTGGTGGTCTGAGCTCCCAGACCCAGTGCGAGCTGGAAATGAGCCAAGCTGCCTACCCGCCTGGCTCCTAATACACTTTAAATGCAGAACCGCAGCAGGGGAAGGTCCCGAACCCAGCACAAGCTGGGACTGAGCCAGGCTGCTGGCCAGCCTGCTAAAAATTTTACTGGCAAGGGGGTGGGGGAGAAATGTGTGTACTCTACAGCATTAACCACACACCTAATCCAGAGGCTCACTAAGCAGCCGGATTCATGATCCTTGGGGAGTGACTAGGCCTGTTCCCAAGAGCCCCTCCTGGGCTCGTTCACAGAGCCCCGTGCACCACTCACCCGCTCATTCTTGTGGGGCGTGTTACTGCGCAGGTCAGAGAAGTCGATGGCGGTATCGGGCAGCGGGACCATGCCTGGGAGGGAACCAGAATACAAGATGATGAGGGGGAGAGCAGGGCAGCGAGCAGGGCACAGATGAGCCACGGTACCATACGACACCCAGCATGCGGGGCTCTAGAGTCCCCAGGTCACCCTGGAGCTCGCTCAGTGAGTGCCTGTGCTGGAGGGGAAGCTGGAGAGATGGGAACAAGGAGGGGGCAGCCTTGTCACAAGTACGTGGGGATCTGAGAGGGAAAGCGCCCAGCAGCCGCGGCTCTTCTCTTGCTGCCAGGCGTGGCAGGTGGGATCTCTAACACACTCTGTTTACTCTCCATTTCCAGAGCCTCTGAACAGATCAGGACACCAAGCAGCAGGTGGGTGTATTCTAGTTCCTCCACCTCAGGGATGCCTACACATCCAGCAGCAAGCCCCACATCTGACCCCTGTCAGACGCATGGCTCCAAGGTCACCTGTCACAGAGGAGGCGGAATCAAGCTCTAGACTCACGGGTCAAGGCCACACCTCCATGCTACCAGCCCGCCCCGAAGATGGAGCGCATCAGCCGTGGAAGATGCCACTGGTTGGCACTGACAAGTTCACATCATTCTGCCTGTGAGGCCTGGGGTCACTGCAAGCACAGCAAATCTCCAGCCCCCTATCGTGCCTCTGACCTCATGTGGGAAGCCACTGTAAGGAGCGGGGGGCTGTAGTCCACAGGCGCAAGCTTGGAGTCAAGGGCCACATGACTCCCCCTTAGAAAAAGCTAAACCCAGGGCCTAGCACATGGCAGGAATACACCCAAAAGAGACAACAGAAAAGCTAAACTCTCAAATCCCCTGTACATCCAGGACACCCCACTCCACTATAGCCAGGGACAGAACCCAGGAGTCCTGGCCCCTAGTTCCCTACTCTACTAGACATAAGAATAGTGGGTCAGACCAAAGGTTCCTCTAGCCCAGTATCCTGTCTGCCGACAGTGGCCAATGCCAGGTGCCCCAGAGGGAATGAACAGACCAGGGAATCATCAAGTGATCCCTCTCCTGTTGCTCATTCTCAGCTTCTGGCAAACAGACTCTAGAGACACCATTCCTGCCCTCCCTGGCTAACAGCCATTGATGGAACTAATCTCCATGAATTTATCTAGTTCTTTTTTGCACTGTTAATAGACTTGGCCTTCACAACATCCTCTGGCAAAGAGTTCCACACGCTGTGCGTTGTGTGGAAAAATACTTGTTTTAAACCTGCTGCCTATTCATTTTGTTCTTGTCTTATGAGGAGTAAATAGCATTTCCTATTTTACTTTCTCCACACCAGTCATGATTTTATAGCCCTCTACTACATCCCCCTTAGTTGTCTCTTTCCAAGCTGAAAAGTCCCAGTCTTTTTACTCTCTCTCCTCATATGGAAGCCATTTCATACCCCTCATCATTTTTGTTGCCCTTTTCTGAACCTTTTCCAAAGCCAATATATCTTTTCTGAGGTGGGGTGAGCGCATATGCACACAGTATTCAAGATGGGGTCATACCGTGGATTTATACGGACTAGAGGCAATATGTTCAGGGGGAAAGATAGCTCAGTGGTTTGGACATTGGCCTGCTAAACCCAGGGTTATGAGCTCAATACAGGCAGTCCCCGGGTTACGTACAAGATAGGGACTATAGGTTTGTTCTTAAGTTGAATCTGTATGTAAGTTGGAACTTGCGTCCAGATTCAGCCGCTGCTGAAACTGATCAGTTTCAACAGTGGCTGAATCTGGACGCCAGTTCTGACTTACATACAGATTCAACTTAAGAACAAACCTATAGTCCCTATCTTGTACGTAACCCGGGGACTGCCTGTATTGAGCTCATAACCCTGGGTTTAGCAGGCCAATGTCCAAACCACTGAGCTATCTTTCCCCCTGAACATATTGCCTCTAGTCCGTATAAATCCACGGTATGACCCCATCTTGAATACTGTGTGCATATGCGCTCACCCCACCTCAGAAAAGATATATTGGCTTTGGAAAAGGTTCAGAAAAGGGCAACAAAAATGATGAGGGGTATGAAATGGCTTCCATATGAGGAGAGAGAGTAAAAAGACTGGGACTTTTCAGCTTGGAAAGAGACAACTAAGGGGGATGTAGTAGAGGGCTATAAAATCATGACTGGTGTGGAGAAAGTAAAATAGGAAATGCTATTTACTCCTCATAAGACAAGAACAAAATGAATAGGCAGCAGGTTTAAAACAAGTATTTTTCCACACAACGCACAGCGTGTGGAACTCTTTGCCAGAGGATGTTGTGAAGGCCAAGTCTATTAACAGTGCAAAAAAGAACTAGATAAATTCATGGAGATTAGTTCCATCAATGGCTGTTAGCCAGGGAGGGCAGGAATGGTGTCTCTAGAGTCTGTTTGCCAGAAGCTGAGAATGAGCAACAGGAGAGGGATCACTTGATGATTCCCTGCTGCCCGCGTGTTCCGCCGCTTTGCTTCCTCTCCCTGGTCTGCTGGAGACCAGGGAGAGGGCCCCGTTCGTAAATGTGGATCCGACATAAGTCAGATCCGCGTAACTTGGGGACTGCCTGTACTTGAGGAAGCCATATAGGGATCTGGGGCAAATCTGTCAGGGATAGTACTTGGTCCTGCTGTGAGGGCAAGGGACTAGACTTGATGACCTCTCAAGGTCCTGTCCAGCTCTATGAGATGGTATATCTCCATATATTTTCTCTCATTAGCAATCCCTCTCTAAATGTTGCTTAGACCTTGAACCTTCTATTGCTACGTGCTGTCAGATCCTACAGGGATCTCAGAGAGGGAGTGAATCAAGCAGCCCTGTAAAATCCCCAGAGTGATTTTTGCTGTGTGCACATTATAGAATCATAGAACCATAGAGCTGAAAGAGACCTCAGAAGGTCATCAAGTCCAGCTCCCTGGTCTAGGCAGGACCAATCCCAACTAAATCAATCCAGCCAGGGCTTTGTCAAGCCGAGACTTAAAAATCTATAGGGATGGAGACTCCACTACTTCCCTAGATAACCCATTCCAGTGCTTCACCACTCTCCTAGTAAAATAGTTTTTCCTAATATCCAACCTGGACCTCTCCCACCGCAACTTCAGATCATTGTTCCTTGTTCTGCCATCTATCACTACTGAGAACAGCCTTTCTCCATCCTCTTTGGAACCGTGCTTCAGGAAGTTGAAGGCTGCTATCAAATCCCCCCTCACTCTTCGCTTCTGCAGACTAAACTGACCCAACTCCCTCAGCCTCTCCTCGTAGGTCATATGCTCCAGCCCTTTAATAATTTTCGTTGCCTTCCACATTACACCATCCCTCTATCCACCACTGACACAGGCATGTAGGTGGAGGGCAGGAGCATCCTGTCACTCATCACGCATCTCTGCACCTGCTAAGCCAGCTCAGCCCAGCTATACTCAAAGAACACATGTGGGTCTTGTGAGAGAAGACAGAGATACCCTGCAGGAAAGACAGGACCTCACATCAAGAACACACTGCTCTTCTGTAACGTATTTCAGCCAGAGAGCCCAAAGCCCTTTACCAATGGGGAAAGGATAATTTTTATTCCCACCATCTTGAAGGAGATGCTGCCTGGGGCAGGGACCATGCAGCAAATCAGCATCAGGAACAGGAAGGGAACTCAGTTCTCACTTCCCCAGCTCTGTATCTAAGCCACTAGGCCACTCAGCTTGGGCAGAGGAAGAGCCAAGGGTAAGTGCTTACCTGGATCAGCAAAGACAGCTCGTGTGTGACAGGCCATCAGCAGAACAACAATGAGGTTAAACATCACGGCATGGAAGGGACACCAGAGGCTGGTACAAAGGGAACAAGTGTCAGACACCTAGCCCAGGCACAGGCTCCCTGGGGGCTGCAAAACTATTTTAGTCTCCATTACAAACAGAGGCTTCTGTGGTCACACAACACCAGTGTCTGAGGCATTTATCCTGGCTGTCATGGCAGTAAGTTAAAATTGCTAAATATACATGGAAACAAATACAGATTATCCAGAAAGCCCTCCCAAACCTGCACACGACAGCAGGCCAGAAGAGCCACGTGCAGCAAGGTGCTTGGGAAACAGCAGTGAAGGAGATGGAGTCATGAGAAGAGTATACAGCCATGGGAAGGGTACACCCCATTCAGGAGTGGTGGACTGGCAGAGACAGAGGAAATGAAAGTGCAGATTTATCAGCTTGTACAATCAGCAGGGGATGGGCCAGACACAAGCAAAGCTTCTCCCCAGACCAATAAGGACTGGAGACCGCCAGCAGAAATGGGTCAGTCCCTAGCTAGGGATTTCTTCCAGCTGGCTCACACTGGATACCTTGACAGCAGCCCGGGATCACATTACTTGTGCACTGAGCCCACTCCTAGAACTGTAATCGGAACCACACACCCCAGGCCAAGTTACCAGGCAGGGGGAACTGCCACTAGAAGAGAAACCATGTTCTGAGCAGTGAGTGATTCCTCCCTTGTTATCTGGTGAATTCTTCACTGCCCATCTAGCCCACGGTCTCATCCCAAGACCTTCTCCCACATGCACTAGAGGTCCAAGCCTTGCAGCTGAGAATTCACCGGCAGTGAAAAGTGCTTCTGTGAAAGGTCTAAACCCTGCTCAGCCTGACGGCAGCTCCCTGGGAGGCCAACAACACCTGAGATGCAGACAAATCATGACTGCTGAAGATCCTGCACCCTGACATGGTTCAGAAGTGACAGCCGCATGTTAACAGTCCAGTCTGGGATCTGGGGCCAACTACAGTGACAGGTCTTGAAACAGTGGAAGGGAGCTGGCAGCCCTAAGCAGGGGCTCCCAGCCTGTAGTGGTCCTGGTCCCTGCAGGGGCAATGGAGGGAGAGGATCAGGGTTAGGATCAGGGAGCAGCACTAGCCAAACTACAGAATGATGCTGACTTGGGGAAGGGGGCTGGCACTCAGCGGAGCTGGGTTCAAATCGCCGGCCCTGCCAGATGCATCTCATGACCTGGGGGGAGTCGCTTCCGTCTCTCTGGGCCTCAGTCCCCATCTGTGACCCAGGGACGTGCCGCGTCCACTAAAGACTCCAGGGTTAGGATCAGGGAGCAGCACTAGCCAAACTACAGAATGATGCTGACTTGGGGAAGGGGGCTGGCACTCAGCGGAGCTGGGTTCAAATCGCCGGCCCTGCCAGATGCATCTCATGACCTGGGGGGAGTCGCTTCCGTCTCTCTGGGCCTCAGTCCCCATCTGTGACCCAGGGACGTGCCGCGTCCACTAAAGACTCACTTGCAGGGCTGGGACTGGCAGCGCCCCTGCCCCAGTGCAGCCAGGTGGTGTCCCAGGGACCCCACACCCCACAGCAGGGA